CATGTCCGCTGGCGGATTTGGACTGGAGGATCCAAATGTAGGGGGGTCCAAATCCGCTAGGGCACAGGCCACTAAAATTTATAATAAGGACGCACTTTCCCACTGACTTACGGTGGTATTACGACCAAACTTCCTTTGCCTTTTGGGTCACCAAATTCTCTCCAATGTGGTACTACGCTGCGGCCTTGGTCATTTCGTTCCAAACTCCACTGAAAATTACTCTACACGGTATATCCGAAGTAAAGGCTTTTTGATTTTTATAGTAGCAAATATTTTAGTCTTATTACCTGCTTGAAGGTTTTGAATAGTGGCGTTCTTGAAGCATCTCCTTGCATGTTATCAGCGACAACCGTCTTGGCCAAAGATTTAGAGCTGCCCGGTTTTCCAACCACAAATAATGGGATTCTGAGCTCAATACACACCACCATCATAAACACATTCTCGCTCAAGGCTGTGTTGCGAGCGATGTTGGGGCCAAGTTCCAAATCGTTTAGCACAGCTTTTTGACAACTAACAGAGCAAAAATAGACAGTATTAGATAAGCTGTGCTAACTTCCTTTTCAAAAGAAACAAAAACAGCAGGGACAGAAATTAAAACAGTGGGAAATCAAGCCTTATCTTTTATTTTTCAAACTTACATTGACCCAAATTGACGAAACATATATTGACACTATCGCACGGTATTATTTTTAGAAAGTAAAAAGTTTGATGCTAAATTACATTACCAAGAACTAGTACCCAAGAATAACGTCAGTGATTACTTTGTTTATTTGTTTGTTGTTTTATTTTATAAGGTGTGCGAACCTTGAGATTTCACGGAGGATTTGCTCCTGACCACCTGGAAGTAAACACGGTGCCTTGAAGCTCTTTGTCACCTCTGTTCGATATCTTTCCCGCCGCTTCTGTAGCTTAGCGTGATAGCAGACACCAATGGCGAGTACCAGGGCACGGGTAAGAGGATTTAAAGCCTCCTGTAGAATCAGCAATACATGGCACTCAACAGAATTGTAGTCTCCCTAACAATAAATCTCTCAAACATAACTGACCTTCCTGTCCATAAAACACCAGAGAAGTATATTTGACTTGGAGTAGAGACGTAAAAGAGCTAAAAAAATTTCTTCTTTTGTCTCAGGCCGATACCGGTGGATAGATCACATGTATCACTCCGGCTATAGGGCATGTGGATATATCAACAAAGTTGAAATGGTAAATTGGCCACCGTAACGATTAGAAAAGCTGACGTTTCGAGCGTTAGCCCTTCGTCGGAGCGAATAGAGGAATTGTGGGTTGTGTGTGCTTTTAAAGGCAGAAAATGGAGCTACGTTATTGGTGGGAACATGGCAACGAGAAAAACAAGAATAAATTAGTGGAATGAAAAGCGTTCGTTGATCCCTGTGGGATTTAGACTGCCGGTTTGAAAGATGAGCTTTTGTTCAAGATTTTTACGGCTTTCCGTGCTACCTAAGTGTAAGGAAAGACCGCAGATTGCCATATGTTGCTTAGAATGATTAGGTAAATTAAAATGTCTAGCGACTGGTTTCGATGTGTCCTTGTCATTCCTTTCCACGTCTCGAAGGAATTCATCACTAGTTTCATTAGTTTCATCATTATTTTTGGAGAAAAGTTTCTGATCCTTGAGATATCTCACGATGATCAAGGTTCCATAAACATAAAAAACGGCTACCTTTAGCCATATCATTAGAAAAGCGACTCTGAGAGTGTTAAAGCTCATCTTTCAAACCGGCAAAGCTCTCAAAGCTCATCTTTCAAACCGGCAATCTAAATCCCGCAAGGATCAACGAACGCTTTTCATTCCACTAATTTATTCGTGTTTTTCTTGTTGCCATGTTCCCACCAACCCACAATTCCTCTATTCGCTCCGACGAAGGGCTAACGCTCGAAACGTCAGCTTTTACAATCGTTACGGTGGCCAATTTACCATTTCAACTTTGTTGATATATCCAAATTATTTCGTTACTCACACCGACGCAGCCCCAAACAGTTTCTTTCGAAACTATCAGCCTTTATAGGGCATATGGTTGAGTAGCAACCCGAGATGGGTCGAATCAAGCAGAAGGATAAACAGCCGTCCGTGACTGCTTAGAGTGTCATTAATAAATGAATGAATATGTGAATAAATAAGAAGCGTACTAACATCCTCGTCATCCAAGCCTTCCTCCATTCGTTGCTCAGCTATCACCACGTCCATCAGTTCACCGAGTGTATCCATGTGCTCATAAAACCAGACCATTACTTGCATGGCTCTCTCAACATCACGAAGACTAACAAAGCTACACTCATCCTTAAATGGAAGAAGCATGTAATTACCTCTTTGAGTCGACACGCCAGATATTAATTTAAAACTGATTTCTTGGATAAATAGAGGAAACATTAAGCAAGAAACTTTTCACCAACCGTTTGATCTCTCATATACTTCTGCGAAGCTGCCAGAACTTCCGCAACTGCCTTTACTGTCAATGAGTCTCCTGGTAATTGATTTTCTCGAAGAATCTATCCAAAACACGGAAGAGAAAACAATTGCACAAGTAAACAATAGAATTCAGGAAAAAAAAACAGTAAATGATAGCTTTTTTTATTTTTAAAAGTTTCCTGCTAGATAAACATCATTCTAACCGTGGTCAACTTTCGCCACCACATACACTTGCAGATCACCACATACAGAATACTAATTCGTATGCTGGTCTATGCATATCCCTCACTTTAAAGAAGGAAGAAGAAAAAAGTTAAAATTTGAGCTCTCGAAGTCATTGTTTTCCTCCTATTTGAAGGTCGACAGGAGATCGAAAACCACACTTACGTAGCGGCTGACGATCTGATTGGTGTACAGTCTCTCAACATCGGGTTTCAACTGGCCAAAATCCCAAATCAACGGGCGCATGCTTCCTGGGAGGGCGTGTACACGGTACACAAGATGGCGTAATGGAATATGACCTGTAGAAGAAGAATGCTTAAATAGACAATTCTAGGCGATGCATAACTTTGTTCATGTTCCATTAGAATCTCCCTTTCAAATACGATTTGCCAAGAGAAAACTTTAGCATCCGTTCTTAGCTGAATCGGGGGCACTCCGGCGAAAGGTACATTTCTGACACGCGTTAAAAAAGTATGGGAACACAACACGGTGGCCGGTTTCCGATATTTTACGCCTATCCTTCTTAAGAACCAAGAGGTTTCCAACTGCCTTCGGCCTCAGTTTGAGATTTCCTCCCGCTTATCAAGAAAAAATTTCAAAGACAAGCTTATATTATTAACACCACAGCGGGCAATTTTCAGGGCTTCAAAATGGTGTCTAAACAGACCCACTCTTACATATATTAACTCCATTGAAATCCTAAGACGCAGAGCGATGTTCTCCATAATAGAGAGAAAATACATGGTGGAGAAATTTAAGACTGACTTTTTTTCTTAAGGAGATGTAAAATAATTCTCCATACCAAGCCGATCTTCTGATTCATGTGCATTCACGTGATATCCAAGCCCTGCTGACTCAAGTTTGCGAATCATGTCATCCGTGTGTCTTCAAACATGTAAATAAAAACAATTTGTCATTACAATTCATTTCTAAGGCCAATGTAACCAATCAGTGAAGCGCTGCGAACAGAAATTGACACAGGAGCAACAAAGACGGACAAGAATGTGAGATTTCCGACCAAAACTTCATTCTTTAAGGCACAATGATAAGCTTTCAAAATAAAATTCAACGAGGTTCACTGACTTGGCTGTTAAATTCTAGGATAACACGAACGATAGAGTCCAAGCCGTTAAGTCGAGAAAATCTACCATTCCAATCAAAGTTTAAGTCTAAGTTATCTGTGTAAGTCTAAGAACAGACACGAGATTTTTTACCTTTTGTAAGGATTACAGGCAGCAATAAACTGCAGCCTTTGTAAACCTTGCCCAATGGGCCGACCATTTATTCTTCGGTCCACCATAACCTCTTTAATCATAGACAATGCTTCAGTAGTGTTGGCTTCATCAAAGAAAAGAACCGTGTCAATATTCTTGTCTTGATTTACGTGAGCCATATCTTCTGCTTGGCGAACTTTAAGCTCAATGTCTTTGTATGTTGTACCACCATGAACCTTTTGATGTAAGGTAACATTTAATCGATATAGAGTAGCTTCTGTGTATTTTGTTCAATTTTGAAAGAATTGCATATCAGAAATTATTCAATCAGATCCGGCGAACAGCAACATCGTAATCAAAATCATCACCTTTATCACCAGCATCAGCACTATCTCCATTCACTCCACTACCACTGCCATTACTATCATTTTTTTTCCAATTATTCAATCTCTGCCATTATCAGTCGTGGGGAAAAGACCCCTATTTAGTCTCAAACGCCAGCAGCACCACTTGCACCACAATCACCAAACCTGACAACCGCATTATGCCCCTGACCACTACACCAGCCGGTTACCACCTCCTCGACCGCCATCCACATCTCACCATTACTAAACCCAGCAACACCACCACCAACGCCATCAATATTACCACTATCGACAGCACCAGCACCACCACTGTAAAAAACGCGTCCTCGCCCTCATAGCAACTACTTCCACCAGCATTGGCATTAACATAATCATCAACAGCAGCTTAAAAAATTCATCATCATCATCACAAAAAAAAAACAAAGTGATGCAAGGACATCAACTGAAAAGAGATGTTTGATTTCACTTTATGAAGTTACCTTGACTAGAAGCATGTTTCGGGGTCCTTTACGACCGGCTTGCAACCCGCACATGTATCGTATGAGGCGTGTCTTACCACACCCTGTCTCACCCATCACGATCACGGGAATGCTGCATCTGTTCGGAGTTAAAGTAATAACCATTTTAATTCTATTATTTCCCCATAAAGACAAATGGTTGATCTAACCCCGATAAAAATTAGACAATAATGAACAGTGAACTTAAAAACATAATTTGCAGGGACATTTTCTGACATCAATATTTACCTGAACCTCATGTGAATGGCCAGAATCTTCTTAACGTTGTCTGTAGTAAGTTCATAGGCACTGTCTGGATCGTGCGATCCGTTAACACCCATCACAGAACGTAACTGAGTTATCTTGTCCTGTCTAAAGTTGAAAAATGTAAAAATAGGCTTTATGGTTGAACAAATAATCTTGCAAACCATTCTTTTCGTAGTTGATGCCTCGACATCTTTTAACGGCCTTTATCTAAGAAAATGAAATAACAAATCGACCAGAATGCAAAAAGTAAATAATTAATAACTAGTCAAACCTGCTATCTACACAAGGTCTCCATCCAATTCTGCTGCACTAATGTGAGGGTCTCAATGGGGTTAACCGTCAACCGTCGAATGGCCAAAATATTAACCGCCAACCGTCAAAAACGAAATATCTTTACCATCAACCGTCAAATAAGCAACCCAATGTTGGCCGTCAAATGTCTCAGATATCCTTAATTAAGAATTTAACGATTGCCTTAATTGGGGTCAAGTTCTGTTTTTGATAAATAAAAGTTTTGATATGGCACAAAAAATACCTTTAATTAAGTCCTTAAACTTCTAGTCCCGAGTGAAACTGGTTGGCGACAGAACCGACTTCCGGTGTGAAAACACTCCCGGTGTCGTAAAACTTCAATCATTTATTAATGAAAGGTGTTACAAATTAATAGTTCTTTACAAACGCGTAATTATGAAAGATTACAGCCAAATTCGCCCGTGTGGTTCGTTTTATAAACGACACTCCAAAAATTAACCGACAACCGTCAAATGACCCAAAATTTAACCGTCAACCGTCAAAAGGGCTTATTTTTAACCATCAACCGTCTTCATGACCCCCCATTTTGACCCTCTAATGTAGCATATTGGTTGGGCTGTTGTATATATTCGTAACGACTCGGCGTTAACGGACTTTGACTACGTTCAAAAGGTGTAGGGTAGCAATAACGAGGTAGGTTCTCCTCTGATAGGATATGTTACATTCCTTTCACCCACAAAATTGACAATGTTACAATGACGTTCGCAAAGATATATTCCAAAGGTAAAGAGTACGAAACACTGAGTCGTACAAACAAAGATATCTTCAACTTACGCCACCTGCTGAGAAAGATAAGACACTGACAGTGAACCCTATCAGCTTTCAAATGATGCAAAATGTTCACTCTTGAAAAACGAAAAGTAATTATAGTAGCCCAGCTTGAATAGCAGCGTGTTGGCACTTACTTCCTCGAGGTCTCTAAGTTTGTTGTAAAATCGACACGCTGAGCTTGCAGTCCATTACGCAAACATTTGGACATCAAACCTCTCTCCAAAGTCTTGCTCGTTTGAGGGTCAACAAGGTCACCCGCAGAATTGATGAAGAAACCGAGGAAGGTCATGGTGATGCGGTCTTGGTTGAAGAAGAGGTATGGATGAGGACTGAATAATGATAAGACAAAACAACCACAATTATGAGACTCAATTAGTTTAGGGTACCTTTGAAGACAACAGTAACGGACGTTTCAAACTACAATCAGTCTTCGAAACCCAGTTACCGTCAGATGTCCTTTTCAGAATCATTCCAAAACGAACGATCAATATATACGATGA